TTGTTCTCAATCACTCGTATTTATAAGACCGTTTAAGTGGTCTGCATTCATGATAGTTCTGTATGAAATAAGAAAGAAAAACAAATCCTCTAAGATTAAAGTAACCCCTTGGAAATATTGCCTTTTTAATTATGTTTGTGCCGCAGAGTACGCAGAACTGGCTGCCAGCAGACCATTACTAAACACAGTCAGTGTCCAACCCATGCACATAGCTATTTATGGCACTGCAGCTCAATGTCTGGGGGTCTGTAGTCTCCTCCAGCTGACCTCCATAGAATGCATTTTTTTATTTATTCTTCTTTTTTTAATAGCTGTATTTATAAAACAAAAAATATTTTCAAATCTTTTCAAATGTCATACATCTCTGTAATTTCTTTGTCAGACATAGCATGACCATAAACATATTCTAAGAGAATAGCCATAATTAGTATTTTAAGAAGAATAAACTATTTTCTCAATTGTCTGCTTGAAGCACAGCTTTTAGACAGTTTTGTCAACACCTCCATGAGAGAGAAACACATACTGCTAATTTAAGTAATGTGGTAAATCCTGCCTGGTACCACAATTTATATGTCTGTTCACAAGAAGATAACCTGTGCAGTCCTAAGAGCTGCCATATTTTGATTCTGTTTCTTAAAGAAAAACATAAAATACAGTAGCTTCCAGCTGATCATTAACTGGCACCAGTGGCAGGGGTTGCCCAGCCAGCTCTTTCTTCTTCCAGCAAATCTCACGGAGTGAGTACCATCTTACTCCTCCTGAGGACTAGCCTCAGCCTGGGCAGGGCACTTGGCTGTCCCCACTAGGGATTCTACTGGCTGGGTGGAACCAGCTCTGGCTGAACTACATTTTGGTTATCTCAGACTCATTTTGCACGTGTCTGCTGTTATGTCTAACCAAGAAATGCAAGTTGTTTTGACATAAAAGAGAAATGCTGAAACAAGCATTTTATTAACCTCTGCTATTAACTCTGCTGGAGTCCATCTCCAGTTTTGGATACTTAGTTGGAAAGGAGCACGCACTGAAGAGCCAAGGAGTATGCTCCACACACTACCAAATCCCACTACAGGCAGCTGAAACAGTATTCTGATTTTATATGTCTTATTCCAGCTTCATACACACAAATGAGTCACACCACCTTCAGTCTTGATCTTTGACAACTTAAGGGCTTATTTTGCATCTCATTTCTACACATAAATTAGAATAATACTGGTATTTTGACACTTTTTAAATGACATGGAGGTACATTAAATGGTGAAAAATAAAGATAAATACAATGATGCTGATTTTGCCGATTTCTCAGAAGAAAACATCTGTAATGATGATTTTTTTCTTTAAGCTTTAGGCCATACTTTATCCAGATAAAATGCAATGGCGTTCAGTCCCTGTTGTTGGTGGGCATGAACTTCACAGTGTAAAGATTTCAGCAAGTAGCACTGCATCTAAAACCAAACAGCTTGTCTCATTACTGGTTGGTGATTGTGCCAATCTGGAATATGTGCCACTGCCTCTTCTTTATAACCAAAAGTAGTGTTTTATAACACTACCACGTAACACAGTTCACAACATAGATACAGAAGGAGGCATCCGAGCCATCCGAGCCATCACTGGCGTTTGGCATTCCTTGCCTCATTTCTGGCAGAGCTGCATCTCTGGCAGTGACATTCCTGGCCCAAATCTCTCTCAATGGAATCACTGGCAAATTTCCCAGCACCTTGAAAAAGAACAGAATTGGGTCCCATGACCAGAAGATGCACATGCATCTCTCATCATACTGTAAGCAGCAAATGTTCGTGATTGCTATCTAGCAATTCAGACTGAGGGGCTGGAGACATCTGAGAGTGAGCTGACCATATGAACACTCAAAGGCATCGGCAGAACTTAGTTACAACACCAGAAAAGATATGCCTTGCCTAAGGGAAATCATACCAGGCAAAAATCCAATCCAACTATCTTAAAATATTCCTTCTCTGATACAAGTAATCTACGTCAGAAGGAAATAAAAAAACACAAACAAAGAAACCTCTAATCACCCCTCCTTGCTGATCAAAAGACAAAAACGTGACATAAGCTATCGCTACAAGTATCAAAAAATATTTTGTTTAGACTATTATTCATTAAAATTAACCTGTGCAATTCATTTCCCTCAACATTCTGTGGAAAGAAAACATCCTGAAATGAAAATTCTTAAAATATATATTCTACTTTTGGCATATTTTTCAGAAATGGATTCCTTTATTTCATTCCGGATGGGTCAATGTAATTCAGCATTTATAGAACTGCAGTGCAGGAAACTTTTTACGGAATCTAAAAGCAGTAAAAGGAAAAACAGAAACACTGTTTTAGAACCAGCAGGTACCATTTCTAGTCTAAGACCTGTACTGAAGGTAGCTGCTTTTCAAGCTTAGCAATGGAACAATTAATAAAGGAACCCATTAAGGTCTGATTGCTGCTGCTAAAAAGGAAGGTTGAATTTCAGTCCTTTGAAGTAACTGAGAATGATTCAGGCCTCATTACAGAGATATAATCTACATTCATACATTTATGTTAGTGATTCAAATCTATTGGGACAGATTGAATTCCGTTAAATAGTGCATCTTTCCTGTGGAACTTTTCTCAGGCTTTCTCAGGCTAACCTAAGAGGTGACCTGACAATACAAAGTAGTGGGGTATTTAGGGATTCAACTGTGCTATAAAAGAAAGCCTGTACAGAAAGTAGAAAAAAGAATGAGATATAATCTAAAAAGCTATGTCAGCTTTTCATTTGGACTCTGTTTTGTAAATGCCCTCCCTGTCATCACACGGGATAGAAAAGGACTCTATGCGTTGTAGTAGTTTTAAGTACTGCATCGAGTATTGCACCTGCCAGAAGCAGATTTAATATGAAATTCCAGATACGTGGGTTTTGTTCTTAACCACAATATCTTACGACCAACATCAGCCAATCACAAGCCAGAAACAGGTCTAAACAGAACTCTTTTTGAGTAAATTCAAGATGGTACCTATTTTTTAATGCGTAGGAGTTAAATGTATCTGTTTGACCCCCAAACTACTACGTTCTCCTGCCACCAGAAATCCTAAGAGGCCAATTAATTGTATTTTCCAGCATTTGACAAAAAAAATGAGAAAAAATGAAAGGTTTTTTCAAATGTATAATTTTAAGACATTGTGGTAATTATTTATGATTTAAACTGCCAGAATCAAAAGAACTGCAATTTTAGGAATACTACGTTGTACCCTTCATGACCTAGACGGCAAGCAAACATTGACATGATCTTTGTAGATATACATATAAGCTGTCAGGCATTCACCGAAAAGTAGGCTTTATGTTTTCATTTTGGATTTTTTTTGTTGGGTTTTTTTTTTGTTTTTATCAGTTGCCACAAATGGAAAGCCTAAATCAGATTCACAAAAAAAAAAAAAAATCTGAAATGCCTTGCACTCAGTGAAAATACAAGCAGAATAAATACTCTGAAGTACCATAAACAACATCATAAAACATATTGATTCTAACATTAAATGGTTTCATTTTTAAGGCTGTTTAAATGTCACCCCCAGAAGCTGAACACATAAATTTAGGAGCTGACTCTCTCCAGAATAAACACCATAATTGGAGAAAATCATTTCTAATTTCTGTTGTGAAGTTAACAATATATTTAACATCCTAATCTAATGAATCAGTCTAATTTTAGAACTATTTGTTCTTTTCTGCATTTTTGTTGTTTAAATTAAGATTTACTCCAAATGCCAAATGTAATTGCATAGGCGGTTTTCCATTGCATTCCACTGATCTGTGTTATTAAACTCCCGCCATTTCAGAAAAGCTCTAGGTTCACATATTGAGGTTCTCAATGTCTTTCTGTACCACTTCACTTCCCTGCTACTCCATTCTCTTAGTAAATATTCCACCTACTTGCATTCCAAAACAGCTGTTTTACAATACTAAATACTGAACCAAAATTTAATGTCTTGCATGCTGGCCATATCTGTCAGTCCCTGATCCTTCATTCTGGTGTTAAAAGATAGTACATCATATGGAAGATGCATGTTAATTACTGGGAAAGTTGACAGTTCAGTGATGAGCTAGAAATATGAATCTGTCATAACATTCAATATGTGAAATGACAAATCCATTAGGAAAGATGGAATCAAAGGAAAAACCAACAACATACGCCCCTCCCAGAAAATAATAGCTTGAAAAATCACTTTAAAATAGCCTTGAAAATGGAAAATTTGTTTCTTTCTGGCAAAGGAAACTGCATTAGTTTAAAAAAAAAAAAAAAAAAAAAAAAACACAAAAAAAACAAACACCAGCAAATATTCAGACAGATTTTATGGGCAAACCTTTGCAATCCCAATAAAGCCCCTTTTGCTTTGAAGTCAGACGCGTGATTCAGTAAATGACTCATGTTAGCAATTAGAAAATGGTCATTTAGGGCCCTGATTTCTTTTGAGACAAGGAGGGTGAGGGTGGGGAAAGAGACACAATAAATCTTGAGAGGCTTAAAAGGAAGAGCAGGCTAAAGTGTGAACTTTTTATTTCAGCAACGGAAGCGAGAAATCAGTGATTCATTAAAGGAGGGAGAAAGACCTCCATGGAAGCTGGCAAAGAAGAAGGAAAAGGAGCTAATTATGTCTCTTCCCTTTTTACTCTCTCTGACCGGCATATAATCTGCTTTTCCAGGGTCTGCCTGTAGTATATACTTCTTTCCAACCTCTCCACCCAACCCCTCCTCCAGCGGGGGGGAGGGGGAGATCTAGCAGGCAACAAGCTCCAGGTGGCTTTCTCAAGCACTTCACCGCCGAAAAAAAAAAAAAAAGAAAATAAAATCCTCCGCTGGAAAACAAGTTTCTTTTTTTTTTTTTTTTTTAATTTATTTGAAAGTGGGGGTGGGGGTGAAGGGGCAGGGAAGCCTCCCTAGAGGGGATTGGTTCAGCCTGGAAGACAGGGAAATTAGTAAAGCATGAGTCTCCAAACCATGCTGGTGGCCGGCGCTCGGAGGAGAAGAAGGCTTTAGGAGCAATTAGCAGGGAGCCGAAGGCGGCGGCTGCTGCTGCCGCCCGGGAGGAAGCGAGGGCAGCTCCCGAGGCTCCCTCCGCAGCAGGCACCGCTCCCTCCGACTGCAAAAGGGTTTCAGATGTCCCACCGCTGCTTGACCCCCTGCAAATAAGGGTTGACCACCAGAGGCACATCCCACCTCTGACTTGTAATCGCTGACATTTAGGCTACAGCTTCCAACCTGTTTACAACCAAAGGGGGAGGGAAAGGAAGGGAAGGGGAAGCGTGGGGGGAGACAAGTTGGGAATTTTCCCTCTCTCTCTCTTTCTTGCTCTCTCTCTTTGGTTTTTTTTTTTTTTTTAAATACTGCTCTGGAGAATTCAAAGCAAAACAAAGAAACTGCCTCCTCTGGGGTTGACAGTGAGAAAGGACGAGTTGTGCAACTGGTTGGGGATTTGCAAAAAGGCAAGGGGGTGGGGATCAGAAGAAGGTGCAAAGCCACAAAGTGTGAGTGCGTGTGTGTGTAAAGGGGTATGTGTGAAAAATCCCTTCCAGCACCCCTTTCCGCTGGTTATTATTTATTTTTGTTGTTGTTGTTGTTCACTTTGCTGTCATCTATTTTTCAGACCTTTCTGCATCTAAGATGGTGAAGAAAGGAGTGAGGAAGAGAACAAAATAACTACTGGGAAGTCTCAAACCAGGTTGGGGAGTGTGTGTGTATGTGGGGGGGGGGGGGGGGGGATTAACCACAGCAACCCCCCCAAAAAAACCAACAGCTCTTTTTTCTGAGGGAGGACTCGAAGGATTAAAAGGCAGCAACTTCTGAGGCGATTTGTCCCCTGAGTTATGGATGTTGGTGCACATACTTCAGGCCAGATCAGAGCTCAGAGGGATCTAACCAGAAGCAGCAACCACCGGCTCTCCACTTGCCTTTTACCAGGTTTTACCCTTCCAGTATGTTTCATTTGATAAGACATTTTCCAGCGCCCAGAGTTTCAGTACAATGTGCAAATGGATACTGACAAATGGTGCCTCAGCCTTTTCCCACCTGCCTTGTTGCTGCTTGCTGCTGCTCTTCTTGGTGTCTTCCGTGCCTGTCACCTGCCATGACCTCGGCCAGGACATGCTGTCCCCGGAGGCCACCAACTCTTCTTCTTCATCATCCTCCTCCTTCCCCTCGTCCTTCTCCTCTCCTTCCAGTGCGGGGAGACACGTGCGGAGCTACAATCACCTCCAAGGAGACGTGCGCAAGAGGAAGCTCTACTCTTACAACAAGTACTTTCTCAAGATCGAGAAGAACGGCAAGGTCAGCGGCACCAAGAAGGAGAACTGCCCCTTCAGTAAGTACCTCTCAGCCGCCGCGGTGCCGGCCAGCGGCTGCCGGTAACCACCACCCCCCCCCCTCTCCGTGCCCCGCCG